TGGGCGTGCAAAATTATTCAGCCCCTTTACTTTCAGTGCAGCAAACTCTCTCCAGAAGTTCAGTGAGGATCTCTGAATGATCCAATGTTGACCTAAATGACTAATAAATACAAATAAACATATCCAGGTGTTAGAATGGCCAAGTCAAAGTCCAGACCTGAATCCAATCGAGAATCTGTGGAAAGAACTGACAACTGCTGTTCACAAACGCTCTCCATCCAACCTCACTGAGCTCGAGCTGTTTTGCAAGGAGGCATGGGCAAAAATTTCAGTCTCTCGATGTGCAAAACTGATAGAGACATACCCCAAGCGATTTACAGCTGTAATCGCAGCAAAAGGTGGCGCTACAACGTATTAACTTAAGGGGGTTGAATAATTTTGCACGCCCAATTTTTCAGTTTTTTATTTGTTAAAAACGTTTGAAATATCCAATAAATTTCGTTCCACTTCATGATTGTGTCCCACTTGTTGTTGATTCTTCACAAAAAATTACAGTTTTATATCTTTATGTTTGAAGCCTGAAATGTGGCAAAAGGTCGCAAAGTTCAAGGGGGCCGAATACTTTCGCAAGGCACTGTATATACTGCTGTGCTCAGTGCATCCCAGAGAAATGTATATTCACTATATAGAGCTCATGAAATAATGTGCAATATATCACCTCCACAAAATACTTTACTGAAATTAAAGAGAATAAAAACTGTACTGTACAAAAGCTGAACCATGCTGATGCCACTTTTGTTTGCTTGTGTGTAGTAATTAGTCATAAATGATATGTTTGTGACATACTGTAGAGATGGTATACATGTAGACACTTGGAATATTTTGCACAAAGTAGTTTGGAAAGTTTTTTAAGAACTGGTTTGTTATTGCTTTACTGTTCAAATGGGCCCCATGTTGGCAGGCAGAGGCGGCTACTGCTAACAAAATGTTTTCGGTGAAGAGAAGCAGAACTAACATTTTCTCTGGTATAAACTACAGATAGTAGTGGGGTGGTGGATTTAAAAAAAGATATATTTTTAGAAAAAATATTTTTTTAACCTTAATGAATTTCTCAAGATTGCAGTCAAGAGTAGGATGTTTGGATGGGGAGATTAGTGAGGGCCCACCGCTCACTTCTGCCCCAGGGCCCCTGGATTAGTCTGAGCTGATATACTGCAGCCTTGACACTGGTGAATTTACTGTACTATACACCTGCTACTATAATTTCAACTAGCTTTTTAAAGACATGTATTGTTGTCCCCAAATGTCAGTTATGTGAGACCCCTGTGACAATAAAGTCGTAGTGATATGGTGGTTGAACAGCTCTATAAGGCAGAATGAGACACGTCTGACAGTGGGTTTTACAGAGTGGCACCGGTGAAACACTTCTGTCATAATTCTGATGGGAAATACAGATATCTGGTTTTTAAACTCTAAGACAAATTTCAGCTTACAAACCCTTATAGCAGTTAATCCCCAGGTCACTTTGAAGTTTTAAATGGCTTCCAGTGTGGTCAGCTGTTGCACAAACCAAACTAAAATGTTTAAAATTCTCTGGGACAGGGAACTGGAGCGTGCACGGGTAAATACTGCATGTTTTTAAAAAGTTGTTCATTTAGGTTTTGTTGCTCTTTAATGATCATAAAACTTAATTAGACACAGGCATCTGGGCTTGTAAATGGTAAAATATAAATAAACTCTTAACCAAGATTAATTATGACATTTAATTTTAAAGTCATTATATGAAATGACCATGGTGATTAGTATACTCAGAATATGATATAGCCTAATAAATAACCATAATGTGCACAGTATGTAGGTGGTTGAATGTTTCGTGGAGCATCTGGACAGCTAACATCATCATAATGCCATTTACATTGTTTTCTATTTGTTGTAGTTGCTGAAATCTATCCTTGGCACTAATGGGCATATCTGCTTGTAATGCATCACATGCGGCATTGTGTCAGCCACTGCTTTGCGGCAGAGCTGTTGCGTGGGTATGTGATTCAGCTCACAGGCTTTGTAGTCCTAAATAATGAGTCATTAAAAAGTCTGTTGCACATCAGTGTGTAACACCAACAAACACTGTCAGTCTGTTTCTTCAGCAACATCTGAAGTTTGTAAGTTTTGCCCTTAAAGCTGTGTCACTTTATTTGCACTCCTTAGGCAATGTTCCTCCGGAGTGAGTCTACATTTGTTGTGCATTGGTGTGTTTGGTAGTGAATAAGTGAATGCTCTTACTGTATCTTGCATCTGTTTTTGTGTTCTATGGTGGTTTGATCAGCTTTGAAAGCAGCTGTAGGTGGAGATAAAGTGGGTGACACGTCCACTGGCTGTGCGCTCTGGTTGACCACAGTCAGTTTCACTGCAAACACAGTTATTACAATTTGATTTTATTGTATTAATTTAAAAACAATGAAACCTTTATAAAGTTACATGTGAGGTCCTCATGGATTTCACACACTAGATGCAGCTGTGAGTAAATTATACTTTCTAACTGCTGCCGGTTACAGGATCAGAGACTTTCTTCCATGCACAAACACAGGTCAGTGATGTCAGCAGACTACTGAGTGAATATTCATGTGCAGTACTTCTACATGAATAGTTTTGTCACTGCCAATCTAGGAATGGAGAACATAACTGGCAGGAGAAGAAGATACAGGGAAAGAAGCTTTCATATATTTCCATGTCCTGACACCAGTGACATCAGTCAGTCAGGTTTCCACCCGGCTCTTTAAAGGGGATGAGAGGAGCTGGTTGGACTGGACATGACTGGCTCCACCTGCTCACCCTGTATTCCTCTCTAATAATGTACCGTATTCTGCCTCTCCTCCGCAGTGCACCCAGCAAGGCCTGGCTGCACACCAAACAGTGCCGTTTATGTGGTCACCAATATTGTAAAAATGCTGTGCCCTGTTGCAGGAAAATAGAACCTAGTATATATATTAATATAAAACTACAGAACATTTGTTTTTACAAGAGGTGCTAAAGGAATCTTTGCACACTGAGATCCGTTTGGACTACTCACCACTCAGTCTATAATGTCTGTCTGTTGCTCAGGAGCTGTCTGAAGCGTTCTGAAAATACCTCAGCTTGGGCTTGACATTTCAATTTTATAACAGAAAGCCTGTACTGCAAACTTAGGATCTGGAGTTTAACAGATGTGGCTGCTGAATTCTCAACATATGAGATGGATGGTAGAAATGGAAAGATTCCCATGTTTGTGGCATGTGAGCAGTTACATCAGCAGACAATTCAAGATAACTGTCTGAGGTTGGTGGTTTGAGGGGTATAAACACCATATCTATTTTGGATATAAAAGCATTGACCACCAGGTTGGCAAACGTGAGGCATCCATGTTCTGAGATCTGCCACTTGAGTAAAAGTAGCAAGGCCTCAGTGGAGAAATAGCCTGTTAACACAGTTCTTAATTCATACTTAAGTAAAAGCACCACATTATGTACAAAGGTTAACAGCAGCATAGGCCCTTCCACAAAGTTCTGTTGGATTGTTTGGTTATTATTACTGTGTAAACAGTATCTAACTGCTCAATGTGGAGGGAAATGCTTATTGACTTTTGGGTAGTTCAGTATGTCACAATGACTCATGCACAAATTTATCATAGATTTTTTTTTTGCAAGATCCTACAAATCATCCAAAGTTAAAATGATTATGATATAAATATAGTCAGGGTCATAGCTAACACTGAGGTGCATGTTATTGTAGTTTGGGGGATGTGGAATTGTTGGAAGCAGTGGCAACTGGTTAATCTTTTATTTCGATCAAACCATGCAAAACAAAAAAAGTGTCTTAGAAACAGGGTTCCCTGATGCACACAGCCCTGAATGTATTGGTGTAAAAAGCACAATGCTTCTCCCTCAAATGCGCTGCATTATGAGTATAGAGCATAAACCCTAACTAAAAAAAATACTTTTCATAGTAGTGATTAGTTAATCCTGTTGTTGTGTCTTCCCAAACAATGTTTCCAGTCCAAAAACAGTTTCCCAGTTGTGGAGTTTCAAGGTTTTCTTTGTGCGACTTCAGCTTCCTCCGTGGCGTCCTGGCATATGGTATGGTATACTCATGGAAACAGATGTTACAGATGTTCACCACTTTAGCCCACATGTCTTTTCCATCTTACACTGTAAATGTTTGACGATGATTTGTGCACTATAAATTAAAATAGATTCATTTGAACTCAGATGAAAATCAGGAGCACTTTTCATTTTTCATGATCAAGTTAATTATCATACAAGTGAGCATCAGTGCATAGTGCACTCACATGCATTTTACTCAGGGGTTGTTGATGCAAATGTCCAAGCTGTGGACATAAAGTTCTATGTGGTTGTAACATTTAAGCAGCATACTCTTCTTACAAACCGTTTGGTGAGGTGTGATAGGCTAATCCAAATCTGAGCTGGTTGTATTTTCATAGACAACAAAACCCAAGCAGGGTTTCAGTTGAGTAAAATCCTTGTAAATCTTTCTATTTATTTTTTAATCAATAATCTATGTGATGTTAGTGAAGAACAAAAGCCAAATGGGAAGCTCCAGAAGTGTCCATATAAAGCCACCATCAGCGTGGCATTCAGTTAGTGTTTCCTTTGCAATGATGCTTCTATGACACTGATTGTGGTTACTAGGAGACTGGATACACTTTGATTTCTTTACTGTGGGTAAACTATTACAGTTTTATAAATCAGTGCTATTCTTCTTGATATGGTCGTTTATCTCTGTAGAAATGGGGCATTTTCTTACCACTGAGTGAGAAAAGTACCGACCATCAGAGCGCAGACACTTAGAGCTGTAGCAACACTTCTTCAGCTTAGAATTGAACAAAAGGCCGTTTTAAATTTTGGGAACTGCCGTGTACTTTGTCCTTCCAAAAGAGAAAAAAGATCGGCATTATTTCCCCCCCTGCGTTTCTTCTCTCCGCCTTGTTCCGCGCTGCAGAGCTGCAGTGATGTCAGCCTGCCTGGGTCGTTTGAAGGTCAGCAGCCTCGGAAGGGTTCATACAAAGTTCACTCGCATATATTAGGCAATTCAATCTTTCATTCTTTGTGGCAAAACTATTTGGAAATGAGCTGCACGGGGGTACGGATAACCCATCCGTCATCGGAGAGTACGCGTGCTTTTAAACGCCGTCCGTGTTATTTTTGATATTAGAAAAGAAAGATCGTCCAGTTCAGGCGGGCTTTACCGCTGCTTTCTGTTGGAGGTAGTGGGACAGGGCGATTCAGTGAAAACACGTCGGGATGTTATTTTCATGATTACAGAAGAGTCCCGCTCAGACGTCCGTGGCAGCGCGCTGCGTGGACACCGTGCGAAAGAATGGCAAATTGGCATTTAGAAGAAGCTGTGGGTCCGAAATAATTCATGATTCCGGTGCAGGACGAAGGACAAGAAGAGACACCTCCTGTAGAGCCAAGAAGAAAAAGCAGAAGGAGGGTAAGGAGAGGAGGAGGAGGGGGAGGGGGAGCCGCGGAGTTTGATGGAGTTGTGTGCGCTTATGCCGGTGATTTTTATCCATAACGCATAACACTAGGTGGACGACGCGCCGTCATCATGTTTGACTGCATGGACGTGCTGGCCGTGAGTCCCGGACAGATGCTGGATTTCTACACGTCCAGCCCGTCCTCCTGCATGCTGCAGGAGAGGGCTCTGAAAGCCTGCATCAGCGGACTGGCGCACAGAGAGTGGCAGCACCACCGGAGCGCACACTGTAGGTCCAACTTATCATCTGTCTTATTGTTGCTATTGCGGTTATTGCCTGACTTAGAGCCATGAGGATGAGTTCAGTGATGATGGGCCAGGGCAGGCTAAGACCATTGTCCACGTATCACAAGTTGCCATGAAAGGCCTGGTCTGATTATTATTGTCAAATCGGAGAACATGACAAAAAAAGTCCACTTGCGCTTTTCTCGTTCTCAATTAGACAGGGAATTTAGAGGAACTTCTGGAAGCAGGCGCAAGAAAGTACTAAACGGATTCACTTAAAAATAGAAGAAGTAATCATTAATAAATCCATCAGCTGTTTCAGGATATTTTAAGGAGTAGCTCAGGGACATGATAAATATGGTATGACACACAAAAGTTTGTTTAGGGTGTTACTGTAGATTCAGTAGGAAACTCTCCAGGACATCTTCTCAAACGTCATATTCACTCCTACATAATCTCTCGCCGGTGGAAACATCCTCGCACTTGCTGATGTATGACTTGTCTCAGATCAGCTCACAGAGCAGCAGGCTGAAGGAATGCAGAAAGTAAACACAGGCGACGTTTCCACACCTCCTCCCAGGCCGCTCATGACAGAAGGGGCGGCTGACGAGCTGCGACCTGCGCTCTCTGACACTGATTCAGATAAATGACGTCTCAACAAGATTAGTCGGCTGCGATCGGAACATGTCAGCCTCCTGGTTTTTGAATTGGTCGGGGCTGATTTATGCAGTGCCGCTAGTTTTTATCCAGGGGAATACGTGGATCATTTAAGAGCAGTTGCATTCTTTGCGTTATTACGGCTGATTTCTCCTGTTGCAAAAACCAGGAGAAAGAAATATAAACTGAAACTAACATCATGTGCTGACTAAAATAATGATGATGAAGTAGTGAATGCATAGTATGAGGATGAACTGATTATTTTTTTAAGTGCAGGGTGGTTTATGGGGCAGCTGTAAAGTTACTGACATGATGCACAATTAAAAAGTCTGTAGAAAAGGGTTAAAATAGGGATCGCTAACGCCATTAATTCCCCGTAAATGTATTGTAAAATATGTATTTTTGTCTTCAGATCAGGACCATTTCCATCAGCTGACCATGTGCTCATGAGGTATGAGGCCACTGTTTGTTTTTCACCCTCACCCTGCTGCTCTGTAATTTATCCTCATCAGATAATGAGCAGAATCCAGCTGTCATTCCTCAGGAAGTGTTTGCAGAAGGCCACTCAGTCAAGTGGCTTTTATCAGCAGAGGGACAGTGCAAAAATCAGTGGCCACCTTCTGGTTTGATGTCAAAGTGTTTGTTACCAAAATCGGAGAGATGACAGAAACCCACAAGTGGATTATTTAGTCATGTAATAGTTTTAAATGTCAGATAACAAACAAACACAAAAAGTCACGAGCAACAGTCTAAAATCTAAACATATTCAATTTGCTATTTTATGTGACAAAGAGAATCTGGAGCTTTTTACATCTGGGGAGTTTGAACCAGTAAATTTATAACATTTTTTTCATTGAAAAGTGATTTTTTTTTTAACAATCTACTAATCACTTAACTGATCAAATCATTTGATTGTTTGGGCTTTAAAACAAAGCACTTAAAGGTTTTCATTCACATCATGTGTAGAGAAAATGTTCACTGAATGGATAATCTGATATTTTTCATATTCAAAAAGAAGAAACTATATTGACTCTCACAGCTTTTAACATAACATTTGGCCTTCAACCGACTTTTCAAACGGTTCAGTAGAAGTCTGTGGAGGTACGTTTGATTTGCCATATAGTGGGTGCCCTGTAAAAGACCTGAATCACTGGACGGGGCAGAAGAAGAAAGTGTTGATTTCCTTCTTCTCTTCTTCATCTGTCGCCCATAAAGCTGCTACCAGACAGGACACCCCTACCCTGCGTCTGTTTGAATAAGGCACTGTTTAAATTAGACTGATTTGAGAAAGCCTCTTCCAGGGTCATTGAAATGTTGGTTTATACTTTTTTTTATTCAGGATAATGGAAACCCCATGGGTGTTAATTAGCCGCATTGACAGAGAGCCAACCATTAATGCACTTCCTCTTCTAGGTGAGATGTTAATTAAGAATGATCAAGGACCTCCTTTCCACAGATAAAATGGGCTTTGCAGCTGAGGAATTGCTGCCTATGATACCCACACTGTGGAAAAAACACATTTCATATTAAAGGCATCAAGCCCTTTTATGAAAACAATGCAAAGCAATCAGACATACAAGAGGAAAGGTGACGGTGGCCTAACGGCCTGCTACTGTGATTTTAAACGACAAAGTGTGATGTTCCAGCGTAGTATGTTTTGTACAGCTGATGTGTGTTATGGGATAATTGGGGCCTTTTTTGTCTTCAAGGCTTAAGCGCCTCTGATATGGACATGAAAGGCCATTAGCACAGCTTGCACACGGGGCTAATTTAGTGGGCGTGTGAAATGAAAGGTGGTTGAGGGGAAGTAAAAAGCCATGTATAACAGTGAAATGAAAGAAGAGCTGTCTGATGCCAGGCATGCTTTAGCAACATGATTAGGGCAGTGTTAGGGCCCCTGCAGGGTTACACTGATACTGTGTATGGGCATGGACGCTGGCCTTTTATTAAATATCAAAATGCTACACCATGTCATCATCAAAGCCCTTAGAAACCTGTAAAATCATTTTTTGTTTGGTTACAGTGGAGAATTTTACTTCCTCGTGATGGCTTAATTGTTGTTTCAGGGGCTTTTCATATAAGAAAGCATTGGAAGTTTAATTCATCTTTCATGAAGAAAGGCAAGTTTAATTGTGTAGCACCTTTCAACAGTTCAGTGTTTTACATAAGATATAAAAAGACATTCAGACTAGATATAAAAGGAAAACAAACTGTAAAAAGATCTGCAATTCAACATAAATAAAACACAGGATATATTTAACCTGTAATGGAAAAAACAAATTTAACTATAGAATAAAAAATGACACTGAATTGTAAGCTATGATTAAATAGAACCAGATTTATTACTATACTGTAGACACGGGCGCCGTTAGGGGGGGGAAGTTAGGACGATTCTAAGGGCCCGCGAACTTTGGGGGCCCACAGTCTGTGGGTAGAGGGCCCAACTTCAGATTTTTTCATAGGGCCCAAAACTGCTAGCGGCGCCCCTGACTGTAGATAACACTTAACATCTAATAAATGCTTTATATCACAGCACAGTGCAACATATATCATAATCAGATATAAGAACATTTGAGTGTTTATTAATGTACAGTATTTGTAACAATTAAAACTTCTAAGATGACATATTTTATATGATTACAAACTGTTTAGGCAGCAGCCTCCATTCTAGAGACCCATGGTTAACAAATATAATAATAAGAACTTATTACATTACAGTGTATTATAAATAAATGTTAATATCATACTTAAATACAGGTGCCTAAAGTTACTGAATTAAAGTCACTGACAAACAGAAAAGTTTCAAGCCTCTGTTTAAATGTCAAAGGAGCAGAGTTTTCTGGGAGTTTGTTCCAGCGAGCAGACCAGATATTAGTTATGGCCCAGCTGATTTATTTTATTTTTGTTTTTATTTTAAACTTATGCAGTTGACATCTACATTAGTCTATTGACTGAATCGTGTGGGACATTTATGGTGTAAAGTTAAGGCGGCTGGTTCTCAAATAAATGTAAGAGACAAGTGTTAAAATGACCTCAAAACACACAGGCTTGTGTATTTGTAGTGGGCGTCTTTAAAAACTGCTAATATGAAACCTTTTGTGTCTAGTTCTTCTGTCTTGTGATGACTGTATTAGTATTTTCAAGCACTTTTCCACCCTCACAAAAATCACTGAGTACTAGTCAGGTTCGGGTGGTAGTGAAAGTCGGAAATCTGGTTCCTGATTTATACATTTTAGCAGCTTAAATATAAATGATTCTCTGCTTTCCTTTACTGGAAAATAACTCCCATTTCTATCGCTAGCTTTTGTGTTTTTTCTTTGTTTCTAGTCCTCCAGCTAAAGCATTACAATTTTTAAATTGGACTTTTCCCCATGTTTGCCACCCCCATCCCAGAGCACCCAGCTTCACATCTTTTGACTGTTTTCTAACAGGGCCAACATTAGAAACCTATTATATCTACTGGAAAAGTGCTGGCAGGGGAGAATAAAATCATTCCTTCTCTGTGCTTTTAAGGGCAGAAATTCCTGCGGAACACAAAGAAACCTCTCACATTTCACCAGCATTATTCCTTTCCACACATTCCTTCTCATCTGTCGTCTGCCTTTATGGCTGCCTTAGCTTCTTGGCCACTTTGTAAGAAAGCTTTGAAGTGGCTCGCACCTGTTGTGTTTGCCCTATAGAGTGGTTTCACCTCGGTGCTGCGGTCATTCCAGGGCTACTCTGAAGTCACAGAGGGGGTCAAAAGAGGGGTGGAGGGTGGCTTTGGTCAGATGACTGCCTAAACCTAAACCCAAAAGTCATACAATCACACTTTGTCAGTACATAACGTCTTGAAACAAGTCCGGTTCGGGAGGTTTACTCTGTCATATGTAAACTATATTCCGATGCCCTGATGAGAAACAGATCCTCCCCTCTTCCCACTGTTCTCCTCTTCCATTTCCTCCACAGATATGAAGTCAAATCATTGTTGTTCTCTTCTCCTTGAGCACTTAAAGCTCTTCTAAAGATCCATCTCCTTGAAATGCACCGGAGAGCCGTGCAAACTGTTTCTAATCTGGTGCACTGTGGATGAACTTTGACCATTTCCTCTGACTGGGGCTGCTGTATGTGAGCTATGCGCTTGGCACTTCTGCAGAGAAAACCTGGAGGAAAACCACTTCCAGACTGGTCAGAGCGTCAGCTGAGTGGTGGAGGAGGAGGAGGAGGTGGAGGAGAGGGACTGGATCCTCTGACTGGGAGTGGTATCCTCCCAGGATAACCACCAGTCCACACCCAAATCACCACAGCTGTTTTCACTGAATCGCCCTGTCCCAAATACACAAACACCCTTGAGAGCATCACAAAATA